TATATAATAAAATTATATAATACTATTTTTCCTTAAATTTATTATACTTATTAATGACAAAAAAAATAGATATACAAAAATAATATAATAATATTATACAAGTTGTATTCCCGAATAATTACTCTAACAATAATATTTGCAATATTTGTATTAACTAAATATTTTTATTAATTATTTAAGCAATATATTACTAATTTTTATTTAAAAATTTAATTTTTATACGCAATCAATTCATAAAATAATTATTACTTAATATAAAATTTAAAATAATTATTATATAAGTGTATGATTAATTTATGCTTGTATAAATATGTTTGTTTATAATTGGATGATAATGATTTTTTTATTTTATATTGTTAGTGTGTAAAGCCTACATACTCTTTTATTTAGCTATTTTAAAAATTTATTATAATTGCGTATTATTATCAAATTATATTGCAAATTAATCTTTAAGTGTTAGTTTTAAGATACTACATGAGTCATGTCTATAAACAAAAAGAAAATCATATATGCTATTAACATCATAAATTGACCAAATATTAACTTTTATGACAATTTTATTTAAAAAATAGTTATAAATGATTTTTAATTAATTAAAAAAGTAAAATAATGTACCACAAACAATTGAACACAAATTAATTTTTTGTTATCAACTTTTGAATACTGTATATATCATGTTTATTAAAAAAAAATTATAAAATCAATACTTAAGACTTAAGAAAGGCTTAAAAACTTTTATTTTTGATTTATTAACTTATGTTGGTGAAGCATTGCTCATGTACAATATTCATTTTTATAAGAGTTTATGATTTTTTTTTTTAATTTTTTCATAACTCAAATTCGACACTCTCTATAATCATAAGATCTTACATAAGTAAATATATTTACTCAAAAAGATTCTGTACAGGTGGGGGGGTTCGGCCACCTCCCCATCGGCCGCCGAATGGCGAAATCAGGAAGCCGAATGTCAATCGGCCACCAGGATCGGCCTACCATCATTTGGTACTCTTAATCAAAGATTAGGGGTTAATTAATCGATTAAGGTGTATTACCTAATACGGTAAGTATGTCACACGGCCCATGGGGTCCAGGGCCCATAAATGTCAGTATAAATAGCTCAGGACAAAAGGTAACGTCACTGTTCATTAATTATCCTAGATATTCGAGCTTGTCCTGACTTGAGCGTTGGAGTGCCTTTTGCAGGTACCAATCCCTTCACTAGCGCATTGGATCGGAGCTCTCGTTCGGCCTTTGGACTACTAGAAGACTTAGTGTGCCCATCAGACAGGTACATTTGGCGCCCACCGTGGGGCCGAACTGAGACGCTTGTAAAGATTAATTGAGTGAGACAATGGCGATAACCAGGAGAATAAAGATTCCACTAAGTGTAGAGACCATGGCGGGTCGTTACATAACTAATCCACATATAGGATTAACCTACTGACTATCCTCCAAATGCTATAACCCTCCTTCGGTTAGGAACTAAGTTTTCGACTTCGTACTTTACTCAAATTGACCACTTGTAATTGGTATAACTCGACCTGACCCCTATACCATGGTCGCTTTGTACACATGTGTTTCGACCTTGCTCACACACAAGACCAACTAAGTCCTAGAGGAGAACAACACATCATCCACTCAAAGGGACAACTTCCCAAGGAGGGTTTTTCAACAAATTGGGCTCTTAGAGCACCACAACTATCTCAATCTGCACAATGAGATGAGCAATTTCAAAAAAATCTTCCCTAGTTCTAGTGATCAACAACTCATCATCACAACTCAACAACACAGTCATCATCTTATTAGCTCAACTATCAACTCATTTCAACTTTAAATAACACAGTCAACTCAACAACTCAATAGCTCACCTCACAATTTGTAACTTAACCATCACAAAATAATATATTTTTAACACATAGTATAACATATAACTTTATAACAACATACAACTCTCATCTAATAACTTAGCAACACAGTCTACTAATAACTTCTGTATAAATCTCAACACATCTACACATTTCACATCATGTTTCTCATAACTCACAACATTATCATCATGCACTTCACAACTCTCAAGTATATCATCTCATCATATTTCACAACATATAAATAGTCAATACATAACATAAAGTAACTTTAACAACATACCACATATTCAATACATTTTTATTTAGCACAACAACTCACACAACGTATAACTCTTCAACTCATTTAGCACATCTACATACCTACACAACTTCACAACTCAACTACAACATGCATCTCACATCTCACTACTAAGTATCCTCATCATGCTACACAACATCATCTTTCAACACAATACACATCAACCCATGCTATGCAATCATCTCTAACTCCTTACAACATTCACAACACATCATGGTTACTCATACATCTCGTTTACATCCCATCATCATCACAAAAATATCACCCACCACATCATTATTCAATATTTTATCAACAATTATCAACACACAACATTTTCACCATATAATACAACTCACACTACATGTTTACAACTCATCTATCATGCCAACTTACACACACAAACAACATAATACAACCTAAGCACTCAAAACAACTTTCAACTTAACCAAATCACTTATTGTGAAATGACAGTCTTCACATAAAATGACATGTATGAAGTTATACTACTCCTATCATTCTCATCCTTATCTCATATGAAAGATAAGAAGATTTCCTACAACTCTCATGAAGATACCAAGTCCTAATTCCATCATCTACCTTGTTAAAAAAATTTAAAACCGCAACAGTTACAACCAATGTTGATAGCTTGATCCATGTTCACTAAAACGACCATATCTAGAGTTACAAACCTTCTTTTTGGGTGATTTCGATGCCATTGGAAAGCTAACATCCAAGGCTACAACTTTTATGAAGATCCCAAGACCAAATTCGGTCATCTAGCCCCAGAACTACAGCGCTCAATTCAGCACTTCAGATTAAACTTTCTACCCTTCTATGGCTTCCCACATGTTTTTCACCCAAAACCCATCAAAACTTACAACCCGAAGGGACCCAACACCTGCACTTGCAATAAGACAATCCTACAATCAACATGCAACTCAAAAAACATCACAAATCCCACGTGCAACAAGAAATCCAACCCAATCCATCATATTTTTCAAATAACTCAAAAGCCATCTTTCTAATTCCACACACTCCAATTTAATCAACATGCAACCAACAATTTGCTGCACAATATAATATTTTGTCCCAAAATCAACAAATTCTAGCATCCCTTACCTCGGAGGGAGAAAAACTCTAGTTCCGAGCTCCCGGGGAAGAGAAGAAGAAGAGAAATAAAATTGCTTTGGGAAAGAAGACTAACCTTACTGTTTTCCTTGATTCTCAACAGTTTCACCTTTTAAATCAAACACCAACGCCTAGGTTTCAGCCAAGAAAATGAATGAGAATAGAGTAATGGAAGGAAGAAAGGGAAAAATGCAAAAGAGAAAGTTTGTGGGTGTGAGTCTTACATATCTTATGAAAAATTAATTTCAATTTTTCTATTTTTTTTCTTGCGTTTCTAAAAAAAATATATAAAAGACTTTAATGAATTTATTTTAAATTTTCTTAATTTCATGAACTAATGTGATAAGTTATGTACAGTACTTTAGTACAATTTAATCTTTAATTTACATTGATGCACTAACTAGGAGAGTTTATATAAATGTGCAAGATCACATAGATATAAAATTCCACTAATCAAGATAACTCATTCAGCTTTACTTTATAATCGGTGAATATACAAAGAAACATTTTTCTCTCTTCCTCTTGATTTGCCTCGTTCATTGTATTAAAAGTTATCATTTTGAGTGCACGTATAGTGAAGAAATCTTACATTAATTGGAAATGAACAAGTTGAGCGATATATAACTAACACAGATCAATATGTCTAATTTCTTAAGATTTTAAATTGGATGTAGTGTGAAACTCATTTGTATTGTCAGGTCATGGTCCAATAATGAAGATCTTTATCCCCTCCCCAATATTCCATATGAATGTTCAGTAACTGGTCTAACCTAATTAAAATTGAATGAACCAAAAATTTGTATTTGATTGAATTGGATTTCGGATTTGAATTTGAAAGTTAAAGAAATTCAATCTAAATCGAACTTATACATACATAAATTTTTATCTGAAAAATTGCCATATAACCTATACTTATTTTAAAAAAAATATTTAATTAAAAAAACTTTTTGTAACTATTCGAGTAAAGGTGTATAACATATAATTATTTGTCCTAAAAAAATATAATTACTAAATTTTGTAATTTTATATTTAATATTACATTTAAATATTTACTACTGTTAGCTACATAATGACTTACAGAAAATATTTAATCTTTTGAATGATTTTTGAAGGATAATGGTTGAAGTTAACACGAATATATAAAAAATCAATGACTTTAAATAACTGTGTAAATATTATTTTGAAGGATTTATCAGGAGACAATTAGTTATTAGATTTTACATTATGTCGATTTATTTTATTAGTTGGAAAATAAAAGTAATTTTAAATTTATGTATAAATCAATTTAAAAAATTAGCAAATTATATCTATAACTATTATAAGGGAATATAGGAGATGTATCTATTTTTTGTCTCTATTTTTTAATAGACTATTATACTCCTAAATATAATTTTTTTTTTAATTTTTTTTAAATAATTATACACAACTTTTTAATATTTTATTAATAAATAACTATTAGAGATATTCGTGTCTCTACCCCTCTAATAAGTTAATAGAAAAAGTTGATGTTAATGGAAATATTTTTTTTTAGGGGTGATTTAATGCAAATATAAAAAATAATGGAATTAAAAACGCCATCTGTGGGGATCGAACCCACGACCACGTGGTTAAAAGCCACGCGCTCTACCGCTGAGCTAAGACGGCTTGGTTGAATGCTGAATATATCTAAATCAATTTAAATGTAAATAATTACTAATTACACAAACAGCAACCTCTGGCGTTCGCTCCTCCATATCCTTGAAGGTCAGTGTGTGCATCTTCTCTATTCCAATAATGGGGAGGGAAGGAAGTGAGATCTGAAAGGAGCGTTGATTCTTCGATGGACGACGAAGCTGAGAAACAGAAGAAGCACTTAGCAATGCTGGAACGCCTTTCGAAACGCCCCCAACCCCGTTCAACCAACTCCGATTCCTCATCAGAATCCACCTCCGCATTCCTCTCACGCTTCTCCGATCGAAAAACCTCCATAGAGGCCCAACTGGCCCAATCCCACTCCATTTCCTCCGACCCAGCCCAACTCAAACTCCACTTCCAAAATATCTCCCAATCAATCTCCGATTTAGAAAAACTCGTCGCCCAAAACTCCTACCTCCTTCCCTCCTACGACGTCCGAACCTCCCTCAAAACCCTCGATGACCTAAAACACTCCCTCCAAAACATCACCTCCAACCTCATTCCCAAAAAGAAATTCTCCTTCAAGAACAAACCCACCAAAAAGGATTCCGCTGTTCCCCAATCCAAACAACCCCCTCAACTCTCCACTCCCCATGAGATCCCCACGCGCCGCGACTCGCCGGGCTTCACAAACAAAACCGGCGAGGTTTTCATTCAAAACTTCAGGGACTCCGAGGTTGGCGAATTCGCCGTTTCGGATCTCGATTCCTGCGAAGTGAGGATAATAGGTTCCGTGAGGGCGCTTTTCGTTCACAGGTTGAGGAATTGTAGGGTTTACGTGGGCCCCGTCACGGGCTCCGTTCTCATTGAGGAAGCCGAGGGTTGCGTCTTCGCGCTGGCCTCGCATCAGATTCGGATTCACGCTGCCAAAAGAAGCGATTTTTATCTTAGGGTTAGGAGCAGGCCCATAATCGAGGACAGTAACGGCGTCAGATTCGCGCCGTATTGTTTGAGTTACGAAGGGATTGAAGAGGATCTTCGCGGCGCCGGTCTCGACGCCGAGACCGGAAATTGGGCCAATGTTGATGATTTCCGGTGGCTGCGCGCGGTGCAGTCTCCGAATTGGTCGGTTTTGCCGGAGAATGAGAGGGTTGGGGTTCTTCATTTAACGGATTTGAAAAATGAGGACAAGGAAATTTGATTTCAGTATCCACATTGTTTCTTGTGACTGGGCCAGTGTTGAGTCTAGATGTTTTCTTTTCTCGGGATTTGACGTTGAAAATGAGATTAATGTGATTTTGGCAATGCAAAATGGTTTTGGATATGTTTCTTTTTAGTGTTGATTATTCGAACATGTTTGGATGAATCTCTCTGCAAACACATTTGCTCAAACTAAAATCAACTTATAAACCTCAATTTTTAGTCAAGTTTGAGGAAATAAATTTTATAAACGTTAATTGCAAGAGTTGATTTTAAAGATTGATTGGAGTCAGTGTACAGATGAGTTTCCTGTCTAGTGCTTCCTGGAGGCTTCTATTCTCTCTTTTCTGTTACTGCATGGATTTTGATAGTATTGATCTGCATTTATCCTTGTTCGGGAATGGCTGGTTATGAATTATTTGTTTGCTTTTCAAATTCCTTGGTCACGACGTTGGAATGTTTCATCTAGGGAGCAACTACTACCTAATGTGTTTATTATAATTATGGATTGCTGCGTTGTTTGTTGATGCGTTGTGTTTGTTTTAAGCATGACAATGTTCAGTAGAGTTACAGCTAGTTCTTTTGGTACTGGTAGTAAACGGTTGAGAATAGATTATAAGGATGCTAAAAGTTGGGTCTTTTCAAGTTAATAAAAATAGTTGAAAACATCATACTCTGTTATTGTTCATATCTTTTTTCTTCTTCTTTCCTTTTCCATTTGGTGGCGGGTGAGCCTGGGGTTGTTGATCCTAATGTTAAGGGGTGTTAAAAAAAGTCCGATTAACTCAAATTATGAGTTACATAACCGGTTTTTGAACTAAATTTCCTGGCCTTTGAAATGACTTCCCCTTCGTATATGATGGTGTTTTTTCTAGCTTAGTGTTGTTGCAGTTGCATGATGGAAATGATTCTACTGGAAATGCCTGCAAAGCTGAGAATATATAGGAATTTCCGTTAATAACATTATCTTCTATAATATTTCATACTGGAATTCCTTGCTATTCAATTCTGTGACTTGGTAACAAGTAATTTAAAAGATTATCTCTTCAAAAACTTTAAGAATTTCCTTTAACAGTGAAATCTACGAGTGTAATGTGAGATGTTAATTGAACATTACCAATAGCTGAAACCTTAACTGAAAAATTATCGAGCAGACTTAGCAGAGTAATAAACCGATTTTGTTAAGAACGAAAACCAGTGAAAATAATATCTAATGGGGAAGAGATATGAGATGTAATACCAGAGTCTAAAACCCTATTTGTGAGGATTATGGGGGAAACTGTAGGGACTAGGATAATGAAAGATTTGTACCGTAGCCATACATATATGATGGAGGATTCCATTTAATGTTGGGAAGATATTGAGATATTGGATGAATCTCTCTGTAAACACATACTCAAACTAAAATCAAGTTATAAGTCTCCCACCTTAGCATGCACTTTTTTCCTGTACTGCTTTGAGCTTTTTCTTGCCTCTTAGAGCATCTCTAGTTTTATAATCTATTTTTGAATTTTTAATAATACACTTTTATGGATCTCTCCGTGCCAATATAAAATTTAAGAACTTTTTCCTTTTTCTATTTTCTTTAATAAAAAAATTTAACTTAATTCTAAATTCACTTTATGTAAATTCCACAATAGATCTATTTTCTTTCTTTTTTGTTATAAGAATCTGATTCTCGCAAATTTTTATGTAAAAATCAGTTCTATGCATGTCAGCCACGCCGCTGCATTCTAATAGTAACAACAAATGGTTCTTATTTTAAAAACTCATAAAAACCTCTGATTACAGATGACCTTGCACAATAAGAAATCAACGTTAAACAAGTGTTTTAAATTACATAACAATTTATAAGTATGACATTATTAAAAAAACATTTCAGTTACATTCTTCACATAATCTCGTGTTCTCTTACAAAATTTTACGTTAGAAATTTGTTGTCATGGTTTAATGTTCGAATGTTATTGTTATCATTATAATTTTTGAAAAAGAAATTTGAATGAAAATATAAAAAACCTCTGCCCTGCATTTCAATTAAATTGTTTATGTAATCACCAAATCAGATGCCGCTTCAAAAGCAAAAATGCACCACCAATCTGATTCATAAACTTGCACTTCGAAACTCCAAAAATGATAGTCATTCATACAACACATTAAAAGCAATTTTTTAAAATGAAATTGAAATACCAGAGTAAAAAAAATGATTTACCTAATCTGAAGGTTATGAATCATGCATCTTTCGTTACAAAATAAAAGGCACAAACCGTCTGGCAAGAACAAACAAAAATTACCACAAGATATTATACACGTGAAAACAACATCCATCTAAACAAGAAAATTACAACTGAACAATAATTTTAATCATTAAACTCTATAACTTGCAGGCATATTTTATGTTAGCTCATGCAGCTTTTTCAGCCTCTGCAGCTTCTGCTGCTGCTTCTTCTTCCCGAAGCTTCTTTAAAGATGGAGGTGGTCTTACAACAATGCTTTTCTTCCATTTTTTATCAAGCTTTCTGGACAACCTCTTACCAATACCCTCCTCAATCTCTCTTTCCCGCTTCACAGTAAGCATGCGAGCAATCTGTATGGATATTTACAGTCACATCATCGTTCATTGAAAATTAACACACAAAATAATCGCACAGCATTTATGCAGACTCCAGAGAAGAACCTTGTTAGTAAAGCCCTCTGGCGTCATTTGAAATTATCCATAATAAAGGTAATACACAAAGAAACTATAGAGACAAGGCTGAACCAGCTAGGCCAGATTGAAATTCTCTTCTTTCTTTCCATTGAGCATATTTTGTATTCAACATGGTATCAAAGTACTGTAATCTAAGTTGGCGGTTTCTTCAACAACTAAATCCTAGCGTCCCCTCTCCCCAATTAGAGCTTTTTATTTTAAGGAGGGATGGACCTGATAGAATGACAATTTCAGTTCTCACCAAATCTAAGCTGAACACGCGGAGAAGGTAAATACTCTAAGATGAAAAAGGAAAATGGCAGGATAATTGAATTTTATTGGTGATTTAAATTTTATATTGACATGTGATGACCAAAGATGAAAACCAACAGAGAAAGCAAGACAAAGGGATGGACAGAGCCCCTTCAATATACTGTAAACAGAAAATAAGGTTATTTGATGAGGCAGTACTATAAAACCACGTTAAAATTATATCAAAACAAGGACTAAAATACAGAAAAAAAAATTGACATAATTATTGTTAAGGCAAAGATGAGAAAAAAACAAAAATGCTAAAAGGAAAAGCAGAACACATGCACAAGTTCAATGTGGTTTAGCCAATGTGACCTACATCACAAAGAATTTGTTTTTTCAGCGAACAAATATAGAACCTAACACAGTAAATGATACAACAAGCACCCATGTTTTTACCTTCACCCACAACCCCATAAACAAGTTCAAATCCAAGGAAATACATAAAACCAGTCTGAGCCCTCCGCCTCTACAACAGAACCTCATTTTTTTCCCCTTCAAACGTTGAGCTTCAACATATCATGTCGGATTACAATTGGGGGTGACTTTATTAATAACATAATTCATGGCATCTCAAGTGTCAGGTCTCAACATTTACCTATTACAGATACAGATCAATTGAGTCAAAATTATAACAACCAAATGAACATCTGAAGTTTGCTTGGATGCACCTGGGAATAGGAGTTAAGGACTTCGCACACAACTTCACAAAGAAATTGAAGTGCATCTAGTGGAACTAAAAAAGAAAAAAGAAAATCATGCAGAAGTTATAAGAGGATCAACTGATCAAGCAGAAGAAAAACCTAGTTCAAGTATTCCTACATACACATTAAATACTTTGTATGCATGCATATCTATATCCCACAGTATTTTCCTGTTCATAGCTTAGAGACATAGATCTAGGCCTCTTAACTTGGTCAATCACCAAAGTGAAAAGAGGGGAAGAGGGGGTAACTATAGGCAAGACCACTGCCTCAAACTCAATTCCTCCAATAATCAGGGGGTCAGACATCACCAAGCATAGGTCATAGTCATGCTGATGTAGTAGTGTCATTTCTTGATCTACCAGCAATTGGGTGTGCCAGGCCCAGATTAACATGAAATTGGCTGTGCCAGTATTACTCTCATTAGTTTAGCTGTCAGTGGCAATTTGTTTCTAAGTGAGCTCTGTCTTTGGAGACCCAGAGAGTAAAGACAGTACTGAATAAGAGATTCAAATTAACCTTTTTAACAACATAAATTTTATATTTCAGCCAGACAAAAAAACTAATTATCAAGCCATCATATATAATGGTCAGAATGAGATAAGTAATCCACAAGTGAGGAAAACATTTTACAATTTTACATAATATAAACATGTATTAAGAATGAGAAAAAAGAAAGAAAAAAAAAAACAAAATGTAATGGATGAAATTGTCTTCACATAATTTTGCACAGAGCCACAGAGCTTGCCATGAAGTAAAATTATAAATTATAAGAGTATCTTAGTACATGAGCTATATTCTCAAAGGACCATTTGGATTTTGGATAAACAACTTAATTATGTGTTTATTCAATAAGCTCTTATCATATGAGGACTTGTGCCATAAATTTGATCATAAAACAGAAAAAGTTTTTAAAAAAAAAACTTATTTAAACAGGTTAAACACAGAAATTTATTGAAATACACTAAAAACAACTTATGAGAGCCATAAGATATTTCTAGAAGCTCAAGAAAGCTCATCATAAGCTCAACACCAAAAAGCCCCTTAAATTACTACCAAGTTGTAGCCTTTCACTTTGCCATCCAATGTTCAATTCATTGTTGCACCTGAAGAAATTACTACCAACTTAGGCTTCTTTCCTCTACATTTCCACTATTCATTTACCAAACGCCAGTGGAGCTAACACTGAAAAAGGCTTTAAAACACGGTCCATGACCGCAATTTTGACTGCAAATTCAAGGTTTTTGGCTCTCCCCAACCAGAAATGTGGCCGCATTTATCCCTAGTATCAATAGGATTGCAACAAAACAACGACCACAACCGCAATTTAAAACATCCTCAAGCTAATCACACTAGTTAATTTCATTATTAAAGCAAAGAAAACCAAAAATTTAAGGGGGGGGGGGGGGAGAGTGAAGTACCCTCTTGCGCATGCGGCCGAAATCGCTGGACTTGAACTCGTTGCGAGCGGATTTCTGAAGGCGAAGCATGAGAAGCTCGCCCTTGAGGTCGACAACCTCTTCGTTAATTTGTTCGGTGGTCATTTGTCTAATTTCCTTCAATTCCTCCACCCTCTTAGACATCATCACCACCGGCACCGAAGCGGTGCGTTTGGTGGGTGGAATGGAGCATGTGGCAGTGCCACGGAGCTGAATGCCACTGAAGGAGGATTTGAACGGTAACGGCTTTGGGAGAAAGGAAATGGTTGAAGAAGAAGGCGAAGCAACTGAGAGACTCAACATTCTCAACGCCTCTTATTACCAGCGAAGTGGATACACTGCACAGTCTGTGCAGATAAGATTCAACTTCGTCTTCTTTTATCCGCTGCACTGAGCTATCCGAATTTTCCCTTCTATTCTTGTTTTGGAAAAAAATAATAATAATAAGCGAAATGATACTATAGTATTAAATATTGTAAAATAAGTTGCTCAACTAAGTCTAAAAGTACTAAAAAGAAATAAACATAAAAAATAATACTATATAAATTATTATTATATATATAATTATTTAAATTTATATCTTTAAAATTAGACCGTTCTGTGAATTAATCTAAATATCAGATCAAAGTTCAATACAACATTGTTGAATTAGATGAAATTGATATTGATAAAATAATTATTATTATTAATAATGTATAAATATCATTAAATAAGTATAATATATAATTTTATGAGAGTAAAAATTAAAATAAAATAATATTATATAAGCTTTTAATATTTAACGTGTATGTTAAAATTTAAACTAAATATAATAAAATATTTTAATTTTAATTTTAATTTTAATAAAGTATATGAATGTCAATTGACAACGATAAATTTATATTTAAAATGAAAATGTCAAATCAATATAAAAGAAATGTAAATAATTAAATTATATTTTTATAGGATATAAAAATAAATTATTTTAATTTAAATTTTTTATTAATATGTATTTTACTATTATTAAATACTTTTAAATAAAGTTAAAAAAAAATTAAAGATGACCAATTCAATCTGATTTTTACACTATTTTTTTTTAATGATTTTAGACTGATTTTTACTCATTCAATTTGGTTTTAACGCAAATTGATTAATTGTTTTAATTACATCGAACATTTGATTAGTTCCATGTATAACAATTCGTTATGATTATTACACTTACGAATCAACTACTTATAATGATGAAAATACAACTAATTACTTATAATTATATACTCACGTTATCAAGATATATACACTATAACACACACACACACACACACATATATATATATATATATATATATATATATATATATATCAAAATAAA